TAGAGCGTGCCGCATATCACAGACATGGGTAGGCATCCTTCCCCATTACACTGTAAAATTCTCGAAACGTCAGAACAACCGTGACTTTACCAAATTCTTTTTCCCCTTTCTCCCTTTTCCCCTTTCCTCTTTCACTTTTGGGTTTTCTTTCATCTGTCTTGGATATTTGGTCCTTTATAATTATTTTCCTCCCTTCTGTGTCCTTGCTCCTACCCTCTGTGAGCCTCTAGCTTCCTTGTAGTGCTCCTCTTTCAGTATTTGACTGACTCCATATCTACTTCTACTTCTACCACTACCTATCTTCCTCCTTCCCCACTATCTCTCTTATCCCGTCCCTGTCTGCTGGCCTATATATATACTCCCTCCTCCTCTCCTTTTTGTTAGTGTGACTTTGTAAATGGTCCAAGTCGGACCGAAACGTCGTCGTAAGCTCCTCTCTCCTATGTGCGGGTTGTTAGGTAAGACACATATGCAACAGTTAGGTATCTTTATTTCGAAACGTTTCGCCTACACAGTAGGCTTCTTCAGTCGAGTACAGAAAAGTTGATAGAAGCAGAAGATACTTGAAGACGATGTAATCAGTCCATCACCCTTAAAGTTTTGAGGTGGTCAGTCCCTCAGTCTGGAGAAGAGCATTGTTCCGTTGTCTGAAACAATATGAAGTTGAAGTGACAGAATGGGGCCTTATATAGTGCCAGGAGGTGAGACGTAGGTTGCTTTGGGAGGGCAGGTCCCTCTCAAACCCAGCCGTTCTCACTAGTAGACGTTGTCGAAGTTGATGGTCTGTACCAAGATACCCTTGTGTTGCAGTGTCTGACAGAATGAACATTAAAATGGTATAAAATACCGACAGATTGTTAGGTAAGACACATATGCAACAGTTAGGTATCTTTATTTCGAAACGTTTCGCCTACACAGTAGGCTTCTTCAGTCGAGTATTTTGCCGCTTTTTCTTATTTGTTAATAAAATAATCAAATATTACATGTCTCGTATCTTGAGACCTACAGCCAATAAGCATTTTTCAAGATGATAATTGGATTCAGGACATGAAAATACATAAGAATTAACTAATCTCATTTCATTATAAATGGTTAAGAGAACCGACACGTTGATAAATTAGACACATGTACAACTCTTGGCTATCATTATTGATGAAACGTTTCGCCACACAGTGGCTTCCCCAGAATTCAATCTTGAATTCTATTCAAGACTGATGGACTGACCACATCGACTCAAGGTTGAGGGACTGATTACCTCATTCTCCTCCTGTTCTTCATGTTTCTCCTTTGTATGGACTGATGAAGACACTGTGTGGCGAAACGTTTCCTCAATAAAGATAGCCAAGAGTTGCACATGTGTCTAATTCAGAAGCATACAACGTTTCGAAAATTGTTGACCAGTGCAATGGCTCGGCTAGAATAGAAATGTCACGTAAATTTTCCTTTTGTATAGTGTGGGTTAATAAAAATAATGATGCATACGAATGAAGGGGAAAGCGAAACTCATTTACATATAACTGCTTGAATTTTTCAACAACATTAAGTCCTTAGCTTCAGGTAATTGTTGGCGTAAGCTGACAAGTGGTGATATAGCACGATATTGCAGGGAAGCCTATATTTCTGCAAGAAAATTTCAGACAACGGAACAATGCTCTTCTCCAGACTGAGGGACTGACCACCTCAAAACTTTAAGGGTGATGGACTGATTACATCGTCTTCAAGTATCTTCTGCTTCTATCAACCTTTCTGTACTCGACTGAAGAAGCCTACTGTGTAGGCGAAACGTTTCGAAATAAAGATACCTAACTGTTGCATATGTGTCTTACCTAACAAGAAAATTTCTGCAAGAACATTTCGTCCAGGGGTGGACTTTATCAGGTGTATATATACTAAACATAGGAACATAAGAATGTAGGAACACTGCAGAAGGCCTACTGGCCCATACGAGGCAGGTCCTTATCAAAACGACAACTACCTAGAGCTACTCAAGAAACAACTCCAGCACCCCCCAACACCAATCAAACCCAGCCCCTCCCACTCATATATTTGTCCAGTCTCTTCTTAAAGCTACCCAAGGTCCTAGCCTCTATCACCCCACTGGGAAGACTGTTCCACGCATCTACAACTCTGTTAGAAAACCAGTACTTACCTATGTCCTTTCTAAATCTAAATTTATCCAACTTAAATCCATTATTCCTGGTTCTTACCTGGATCGACACCCTCAGCACTTTATTAATGTCTCCCTTGTTTATGCCCGTCATCCACTTATACACTTCATTGATATCTCCCCTCATTCTACGCCTCTCCAGAGAGTGGAGATTTAAGGCTTTAAGTCTATCTTCATACGGGAGGTTCCTTACACATAAGAACATAAGAAAGGAGGAACACTGCAGCAGGCCTGTTGGCCCATACTAGGCAGGTCCTTTACAATTCATCCCACTAACAAACATTTGACCTACCCAATTTTCAATGCTACCCAAGAAATAAGCTCTGATGTGCAAGTCCCACTCAAATCCAACCCATCCCACTCATTTATTTATCCAACCTAAATTTGAAACTACCCAAAGTCCTAGCCTCAATAACCCAACTAGGTAGACTGTTCCACTCATCTACTACCCTATTTCCAAACCAATACTTTCCTATTGTCCTTTCTAAATCTAAACTTATCTAATTTAAATCCATTACTGCGGGTTCTCTCTTGGAGAGATATTCTCAAGACCTTGTTAATATCCCCTTTATTAATACCTATCTTCCACTTATACACTTCGATCAGGTCTCCCCTCATTCTTCGTCTAACAAGTGAATGTAACTTAAGAGTCTTCAATCTTTCTTCATAAGGAAGATTTCTAATGCTATGTATTAATTTAGTCATCCTACGCTGAATGTTTTCTAACGAACTTATGTCCATTCTGTAATATGGAGACCAGAATTGAACTGCATAATCTAGGTGAGGCCTTAGTAATGATGTATAAAGCTGCAGTATGACCTCTGGACTTCTGTTGCTTACACTTCTTGATATAAATCCCAGTTTGTTAGGTAAGACACATATGCAACAGTTAGGTATCTTTATTTCGAAACGTTTCGCCTACACAGTAGGCTTCTTCAGTCGAGTACAGAAAAGTTGATAGAAGCGGAAGATACTTGAAGACGATGTAATCAGTCCATCACCCTTAAAGTTTTGAGGTGGTCAGTCCCTCAGTCTGGAGAAGAGCATTGTTCCGTTGTCTGAAACAATATGAAGTTGAAGTGACAGAATGGGGCTTTATATAGTGCCAGGAGGTGAGACGTAGGTTGCTTTGGGAGGGCAGGTCCTTCTCAAACCCAGCCGTTCTCACTAGTAGAGGTTGTCGAAGTTGATGGTCTGTACCAAGATACCCTTGTGTTGCAGTGTCTGACAGAATGAGCATTAAAATGTGTAGGCGAAACGTTTCGAAATAAAGATACCTAACTGTTGCATATGTGTCTTACCTAACAATCTGTCGGTATTTTATACCATTTTAATGCTCATAAATCCCAGTAATCTATTTGCCTTATTACGTACGCTTAGGCATTGCTGTCTTGGTTTAAGGTTGCTGCTTACCATAACCCCCAAGTCCTTTTCGCAATCTGTATGGTTAAGTTCTACATTATTTAACTTATAAGTGCTAGGGTTATGGACACTCCCGAGCTTCAGAACCTTGCATTTATCTACATTGAACTGCATCTGCCACTTTTCTGACCAAGAGTAGAGTTTGTCTAAATCTCCGAAGTTCCCTTTAAAATCTACGTTTGAATCAATTATCCTACCTATTTTTCGTGTCATCGGCGAATTTGCTCATATCACTAGTAAATTTCCCTTTTATCAAGATCATTGTAGATTATTTTATAAACAACAACGGGCCAAGACTGATCCCTGTGGAACGCCACTTGTTACTGATCCCCCCTCGGATTTTAAACCCCATTTATGGACACTCTTTGCTTCCTGCTGTGAGCCATAATTCGATCCACGAGAGCACCCTTCCCCCATGCCATGAGCTGCTACTTTCTTCAACAGTCTTTGGTGTGGAACTCTATCAAATTTCCTACTAAAATCTAAGTAAATATATCAAATTCTTTATCGTGGTCAACAGCCTCAAAAGCTTTACTGAAAAAAGTCAATAAATTAGTTAGAAAGAACCGGCCTCTTGTGAATCCATGCTGAGTATCATTAATCAAGCTATGCTTATCGAGATGGCTTCTTATAATCTCAGCTATAATTGACTCTAGTAATTTGCCTACAATTGAGGTCAGGCTTTTTGGGCGGTAATTTGACGGTAACGACTTGTCCCTGTTTTAAAATAGAATTAATTCGCCATCTTCCACATATCAGACACTGCACCTGTTTGAAGAGATAAATTAAAAATATTAGTTAATGGTTCACAGATGGAAATAAATGGTATAAAATACCCACAAATGGGAATTAAACACAAATGAGTATAAATT